AGAGGAGGAAGGATGTTCAGAGATCAGTGGAGGAAACGAAGAGTGTGGGAGAGGAAGGGGACTACTGGAAGGAGGAAGGGAGAGATTTGTCAAAGACAATTAAGCAGGAGAGGGGGGATATTGTTGAAAATAGGAGTTGGCAAAAAGAGGGATGCATGGAAACAAAAATGTTGTGCATATTTCTAAACATATTATACAACATAATATTATATTTCCCTCCAAATTGTGATAGCCCTTTAAAATATTCACATGAAAATACATATGAAACCCAGAGAAGTGAGAACTTTGCATCATTTACTTTTCAGATAAATTGTCCCAGAATGAAAGATGAGTGAAAAAGCAGCATTTTCTATCATTAAGCCTCGATAAAGACAGCACAGTATTTTTTCCAAAGGCTTTAATACAGTCTAAATGCTAACTGAAATGTTAAGCTTATATGGCATCATGTGATTAAATTTGGCCCTCGTGTATTTTAATCTGCCACTGTTTTCTCCCCCCCCCGATCACAGATCACATAACATTAAAAGCCTGTGCTTTCCCAAATTAGTCAAGGCATCAATATTAATTGGCTTCTGACAAGGTGACATTTTCTGTTAACATAGGCTGACTTTGAGAGGGGCATGTCTTCAATTTCAAATTAAAAGACACTAAAGGATACTTTGATGTAGGGCTTGTGACGCTAACGCTCCACCATCTTTATCACATCATCAACCATCTATCTGTTAATCTCTCTGTTTTGGTGTATTTGTATGCTGAACACATATTAGCATGCCTGCACACAATATAGGGAGCTCCCAGCTCTGGCTCCACTCCTCTATCAATCCAGTCCATATTTTGTCACTCTCCCTTCCCTATCCACAGTGCAGTCCTCTCAGGCTTTAGGTACAGCTTGGGGAGAGCAGCACGTTTGGCTACCAGGGACGCCGAAGCAACAGCAGCCCACCCCCTATACACACAGCGTCTATAGGAAACACTATCCAGCACACACACACAGCACCGGATTATACCCTTTGCTTCCCGGATACCATGGATGTTTTTATTGGCAGAGAGGCTAAGGAGACAAAATCATGATGTGTTATGGTTAGCATTTCGTCTGGTGTGAGCGTGTGTGTATGCATGTGTGTGTCTGTTTGCGTCAGTGTGTGTGTGTGTGAGATGTCTTTGTATCTGTTAACCCTATCAGGATGCTGTGAACAATCTCATGTTTGTTCCATGCTGGACAGTATTGACATGGATCTTGACTGGTTCTGAGTGTCTCGCTGAGTCCTCTTTTCCACCGTCCCTGTCTTCCCTCCATCCCTCCTATGGCAGACATGGGCCTGCTAAGCAGACTATTATTCATCTTGCTACATGACTGGAATTACATTTCTCTCATGAATGACAGTGTAAACCTAATACACCTAGATCGCTGACTGTGATATGTGTGCTGTGTATGGGAGATAGTGAGTGAGTCTGTCTGTGTGAGACTTCAGTTATTTGCTGTGGCTCCTTGGGTTCCCTCTGTATTCTCTGCTGTTATTTTCTTACTATTAACATTCATTTGGACACCCAGAACTGGGTCCTGCAGCTGTACTGCCTGGGAATGTATCTGTCTTACTCTTAAAAAGGAAGAATCCAGGATTTGAACTGTAGTGCACTGATTTCCACTGGAGGTTTCTTTTCTCGGAGAGAATCAGTGAGCTTTGCTACAACTGACCTGTGACTGCTCATCCGTGGGTTAGGATACAGGACAACAAGGCCCTACTCCCAGACCCGCACAGCTGGCTCACCTGTCCAGTATGAAGAGTCACCCATGTGTCTACTCGGGGTATCCCAGCTTAGCTGTATGTGGGGTGGGAGACCCCGGGCCTGGACCGTCCACTAGCCCTCTGAAGCGGGCCCTTACTGACCCCTTGCCCTCCTGTCTTGCCCCTGCAGAGGAGGCCTACCAGAAACTGGCCACTGAGACCCTGGAGGAGCTGGACTGGTGTCTGGACCAGCTCGAGACGCTGCAGACAAGACACTCAGTCAGCGAGATGGCCTCTAACAAGGTAAGCAATAACAAAAAAGTTCACACCAACTTGTAAACTTCATCTAACTGTAGCTTAATTCTGTATGCCAACATCTGCAGCATCTGTTGGAAGTTTTAATATAGATTTCATCTTCAAATGCCTAATTTTAAGAATGCTTTATTTGAACATGTTCAGAAGCTGCTACCCAGGATTTACTGTGACTTGTTTTTTGTGGCTGACGTGAACAAGATGTGCTTTTAAATTTCAGTACGAGTGTGACATATATAGTATATACACTAGTGTAGTGCATTGATAGAGGTCAATCTACACGTACTGTCCAGCTGCATTTCTATGCATGAAGGAAAGATATAAAATTGCAAATAAGTCTTTTGGGTGAGGGTAAATTCTCTCGATATGGTCATTCAGCGGCAGTGAAATTATGTTTATTGCTCGGTGACAGGCCAAGCTGATATGCAGCACAATTTTATAAAAATATACCAGATAGAGGGCAGATAGATACTATACATAGGAGTATAATACTGAATATAGTATAATATTAATTAAACATTATCTAATCTGTGTGACCTGCCCCTTTGCCATCAGGCCTCTTTCCCTGTTGTGTTTATCAACCCGTAGTAATCACTTTTGGACCTGTGGAGCTCACTGCTCCTACAGTCATTATTAGGTTGGCACATGAGCTGTACATTTTATATGCTTTGGTGTCTTTTTCAGCACTCAGCGGTCAAAGTGTATGTTAGACTGTTTGTGTTGTATTGTCTTTGCGTGTTAGTGATAGCATCGTCATGCAGACAGGGAGTTGTGCTGTGAGCATGCTCAGTCGCCTCCAGTTTGTGTATATTTGTGTGAGTATGTGTGTGTGGAGGGCGGCTGCTTTGCCGCTCTGAATGCTGATCAGCTCTGGGCTCTGGTGATGTCACACACTGTGATGTCACATGAGGGTAGAGAGGTGGGGGCGGTGCAAGAGGAGAGGCAGGGAGGACGGACAGACAAAGGAATTACACAAACGCACGCGCCCACCGCTGACATTAACACAATCACATGCATGACCGGGACATCTACCTCATTTAAAAGTGAAACGATTATTTTTTTTTAAATTGTGCCTCACCATTGCTCACCAGCACAGCTATTTCTGGTTGTCATGGCAACAGCCACAGACCCAGCCAGCCTCACTCCAGCGGCACGCACACATCATAGGTAATACAGTCACTACATCTCCCACACATAGCCATTACTTTGTATATATCCTGCAGACTTTCATTTATCAGCACTCAGCATAAGCCTTAATTCATCATGGAAGGAAAAGTCTGAGATTAAAAAGACATACTAAAATCGCTCCCTTGACTTTTAAATTGAATTAAATTACTGTAACAATCTGCACCTCATGTCCTCTGAAAGTGATGTCTGGGGACATTCCTATGAAAACCACCTCATACTTGTGCTTTAGTTGTGTCCTTTAGCAGTCACATTGTAAAGGTTCTATTGTTGTGCGTTTGCTTTGTGGAAGCAGTGCAGTTCTTTTATGCTTCTAACATCCCTCAGTAATGACCCCAAACATTCTCATTTTTACTCCGTTAAGCCCAGGGGCTGTTATAACAGTAGGTCAAACAAGGTGACATACCTGTTTGCCCTAAAGGATCTCATGCCAGCTGAAATACATACTCTACAAGCAATGCTTATTTTCAATTCATTATACTATATTTCTATGTAATACACTGTGTGTGTGAAGTGTAATAGTGATCCAAAACTAGTAAAACTAATTATCTAGCATAATCTTTAATATGACCACTTCATTGCACTGGTGGTTTATCTGGTGGTTCTAGTTTAGGATGCTCCTGTGGTTACATTTCAACCCTTTTTGTGGGTGTATGTGTTTCTGGAATCTGCAGTTGGTCTCTCTCTGGCTCTGCCTCAGGATACGTGTGTGTCGGTCAAGTTTGCAAACTTGACACTTTGAAGTTTTGATACATAATAGCAGCATCCAGTGTTGAGGGTAGTATTTAGGTGGGTACTTGCAGCATTTTCTACATTCAACACATGCCTGGGAATCCTCTGGTAACCAGACATACTGTAGAACCTGGCTAAAACCTTAACGCTGAGGATGCCTCAGTGTGTCCGATGCAACATTTTAAATATTTTGTGAGTACCCACAGCACAGAGGCATCTTTCAATCATCAACAATTTCCAACTTTCACTGATGATAGAGATTGAGCTTGGATTCTGTTTAATTTGGCCAACCCTTGAGGACATACTCATGCACTGAAGGACACCATATATATAGCAGTCTAGTGTCTGATGTGTGTTGAATCCACTGGTGAGTCACCGAGGACATCCATCATCAATACTTGTTCATTTCCTTTTCTTTGACTTTTTCAGGTACACAAGCCTGTTCAATACATCTGCCTTTGCAAGTTGTTTTCCTAGTACAGTGTTATACTCACTTGCAACCAGCTTATGATCATTATAGATAATGGATGCATATCCATACAAATACTTGTGGAGTTTCTTAATTCCAAACACACCAATCAAACTTTTTAAAGCTTTTTAAGCAGGAGGTGAAAAGATAAGATAAACTTTATTGATCCCACACTCGGGAAATTCACTTACTACAGCAGCTCCAGATACAGCACAAAAGATAAGAAAATACAAAATACAGTAAACAGTAAAAAATACAGTATAGCTCAAATATCAATATTATTATTGTGTGTACATATATACATATAATATATATATATATATATATATATATATATATATATATATATATATATATATATATAAAGAGAGAGAGAGAGAGATACACACCAATCAGCCATCTCATTATCATTGCACCTGTCAGTGGGTAGGATATATTAGGCAGCAAGTGAACATTTTGTCCTCAAATTTGAAGTGTTAGAAACAAGAAAAATGGGCAGCGTGAGGATTTGAGCGACTTTGACACAGGCCAAATTGTGATGGCTAGACCACTGGGTCAGAGCATCTCCAAAACTGCAGCTCTTGTGGGGTGTTCCCGGTCTGCAGAGGTCAGTACCTATCAAAAGTGGTCCAAGGAAGGAGAAGCAATGAACCGGCAACAGGGTCATGGGTGGCCAAGTCTCATTGATGCATATTGGGAGCAAAGTCTGGCCTGTGTGGTCCGATCCAACAGATGAGCTACTGTAGATCAGTGTTGACAGATGTTACAGAGACAAACAGTGCTACATTATGCTGTTCATGAGTTAAAGAGTCTGACAGCTATTGGAATGAAGGACCTGCAGTTGCGCTCCTTTTTGCACTGTGGGTGCAGCAGTCGGCGGGCAACAAGTTTGCAAGATAGACTGGGGGTTTGTTGTAGTAGTCTGACATTCTGCTGAGTTTAGTCTGTTGGGGAAGGGGCTTGAATAATTGTGTTTAATTAAGAAGGCGTTCAGTGCATAACCCACATATTTCACTTCATCCCGGTGGAAGGTGCATTTCATTCTTTTAAGCTGCAACCTGATCTCTGCTAGTCTCTTTATCTTTGCTACTTGTTAATATATCATCAAGATAAAATGCTACTAGTAGCATGCCTAGCAGTAGGCCTTCCTAATCCATTGGAATATCAGCACTCCAAAAATCAAGGAGCTTTATAGTTGTGTTTTTGTGCAAAGGTTGTTTTGGTGATTCTGTTAATTTTATTTATTTTATCTCCTTCACTGCTTTGGTCATCTTTCTTTAAATTGTTAGTTTTACACATGCAGAGTCATTCAACAAGTTGGTGATGGGTTTTCTTTTTTGGATTTAGCTGTTTATAATGATACCTTCCTACATACTGTATAGATTTCCTGCATTTTGTTTAGATCATGAATGGACAGCAGACGTACTTTTCACATTCATTGAAAACAGTAGCGGCAGTTAGAGTGTTCCTGCTCTCTCTGTGTTTTATAGAGTGGGGCCGTCTTCCACCAGAATAAATGTGAAATGTGAGAAAAGAAACAAATGCAACAGAGATCTGGAGGTGTCATGAGCTATATACAGCAGGGAATGGATATTTTTGCTCACTCCGTCAAAGAACAAATTACACACAAGTCACAGCTAATCTTGGTGTGACACTTTCCAATTTTTACCCAATAGTTTGTGTTCACACCTCTTGGCTAAGCTATCAATATGTGTGCGTACTATATTTGTCCGGTGGAGAGAGGGAGGAGGGGTGTCTGTGGGCGTTATATTTGTGTATATGCTTCTGCAGGGAGTAAAGCGTGTGTGTGTGTGTTGGTGTGTGTGGTGGGCCTGTGCTGGCCTGCTTGGCTCAGAGTCAATCAAAGCTGCTGGATCTCAGTTAGTCAGTTGTCTCATCTGCTCCAGCGTAGCTGTAAATTACTCACAGTGCCAGGCTGGCTGTAGAGGTGGGGTGTAAAGTAAGCAGAGACAGGTTTGGTCCCTTTTCAATCCATGTAGCCACTGGACCATTGCGGAGACACGACACATGAATGTGCACGCTGCTTACACACGGTACAAGACAAGAAGAGAAAGAACAGAACCTCCTCTTCTCAGAATCTGTCTGCCATTAATCAACTATCTTTCTCCAGAAGGACTGACAACACCTTTATTTCTGTATAATACACACCGATGAGCCATAACATTATCGACTCTGACAGGTGGGTGGGATATATTAGGCAGCAAGTGAACATTTTGTCCTCAAGTTGATGTGTTAGAAGCAGGAAAAATGGGCAAGTGTAGGGATTTGAGCGACTTTGACAGGGGCCAAATTGTGATGGCTAGACGACTGGGTCAGAGCATCAAAACTGCAGCTCTTGTGGGGTGTTCCCGGTCTGCAGTGGTCAGTACCTATCAAAAGTGGTCCAAGGAAGGAAAAGCAGTTTAAAATTAGGTTATGGCTGATCAGTGTATTGTCATCATCATTAAAGTGCCTGTGATATATATTTTTTAAACAATGTGAAAACAATGTGAGGGGTCGACCATAATAACGAACCTACAGAAAATTGCCTTGCCTTATGCCAGCTGTCTGTACTCAACAGTTTTTGGCACCAACATACACATTTCAGTCAGTATTTAAAAAAAAATCAAAGTTCAATACCCATCCCTAAAACTACTTTACTTACTTAACTTTACACATCCCATATCACTAATCTTGGCAGGACAGGATTTAGATGCTCTGCACCTTTTTAAATGAACTCTTAATCCCCTCTGACATTTTTAAGCTTTGCAATCATTTTTATTTTTTTTTACGCTTGATAGTTGGTCGTCTGACTAGATCTTTTTTATCTTTGTGGTTTGTACATGGTTGTATGCAAGGTGTCTTAAAAAAGGTCTTCGTGAGACTACATGATCAAATGAAAATGACAATTAAAAGGGCTGATAATACAGTGCTATTGAATTAGTGGCAACAGAAATTTCTGCCTTCAATAGGGTTTGAGCCTTGTTTTCCAAATAAAGTGAAAACCTCTTGAGCTCAGTGACACACACCACAGCCTGTGAGGACACACGTCTTTCAGTTTCTGTACTACTGAGCCCACTTCAGATAAATGTGACGCTCATTCTTTTTGTAAGATTAATTGGTTTTCGTGTGTTTACATCATCTCACCCGTGATGTTATTGTGACTCACCTGGCATGAATACTGGCATGAAAGCTGACCTCAGTTTTTCAGTATTGTATCACTTTGGAAGAGGTAACCTGTGCTTGTACATCATACTGCACAGAAGGTTAGGTCAGTCAACACGCAAACACATACACACACGTACTATTGCATGTTATGTAAATATGTCTTGTGTACACACAAACGAACATGTACTTTATCTACACACACACAAAATCACATCCTGCTGCAATGCAGGAATGGAAGGAAAAGGGAAGAGGTAGATTTTCCACTGACTTCAGTCGCAGCCAATCACACAGCAGGTGACCTCAACTCTGTTCCAATCCAAGCCAATCAGAAGTGATGATGAGCTCACACTTCTTCAATTGCTGGGTCCTGATTTGCTGCTGTTGTGTGACACAGCGAGAGAAGCAGCCTGTATTCTTCACATGGGAGCTTGTGTCATACACACACAGAAGCAGGCGGGCAGTCAGGCAGCCAGCCCTGTTTGGAAGCTGTTGACAGAAACATTTTTGCTGTCCTGGTGGTTTGGCATCTACCAGCATCCGCACCATCATCAATTATTTACAACCTCAGCAGTGTGTCCCTGTATCCAAGTGTGTGTGTGTGTGTGTGTGTGTGAGAGAGTGTGTGCACTTTTCAGTGTGTATCACAGTGAGTGTGGTCTTGGTATGCTCTCATCGGATCTTTGGGGAGCCAGAATCTGGGTTTTCTCTCTTCTTCCAGGAACATGGGCTCATTTCTGTGGATATTCGCAGGACAGGAACACGATGCTTCGTTTAAGGATTCTGTGCAGCAGATTTACATTGAACCTCTTCAGGTTGGGGTATTTTCCTGGCAAGAGCTGCGGACTATTTTTCTTTCGCTAGCTGCCTAATGCTTTTATTAACCAAACTGTTGGCTTGACTTGACTTGAACTTGGACTATAAACCAGTACCTTTATTATTTCTGGATCTATTTTGTTGATTAGTCAAAATGCCTGAAGCAAATTATCTGCTCTCTGTGTCCTGGGGATATATAAAGGTAAGATGTGGTCTTGGATTAGTGTATTTTAATTTATTATTCTGGTGTTTTATTTTTTTCTACACCTATTTTTTTAAAATACATGTCGAGAGAGTGGAAGTTCTATTTTAGAGGTTTATCCTTGGCATGGATTTGGACGCAGGGTTATAAGACCATGAAGTAAACTGTATGTAGCTCCTCGCGAACATGTCCATGGAACAATGCTTCATAGGTGTGTCATTACTGGATCCATCTTCCATTTTGATGTATCTGTGATGTGGAGAGCTGATGGTGTTTACACTGTACTTTGAAAGGTGTAGACATGTACATTATAGAAGAACATTACATAATTACTTTTTTAAGTGAGTTTGGATTTTAAACCACAGACCTTTTCATCACACCTGTAAATTGTTAAGTACTTGTCAGTGGGTTCATGTTTTTTAATGACACAAGGGCTTTCTTAGATGGAATAAAACCGTAACTCCTAAAGCTCTGTGAAGACTTTTTAGGTCAGCAAGCCACAGGGTAGTTGGGTTGCTCCATATTTTTTGATGTAATAAGGGATCTTTTGTAGGTTATCCACAAACCTGAATTAAAAAAGCAAATATCTTTAAATTCTTAAATTTTTCTCACTGTGATTTAATTTTGTTTCATGTGAATATAGCTCTTCCGAACATGTATTTGTTGCTTTTCTATTCGACTGGCTCTTGACAAAAGCACATGACAAATGGCTCTTTGCCTCTTGTGTCTCCATTTTAAAACGCTACCCAATGAATCCCCGTGGGTGTTATTTAATAGGATGTCAATACACAATTGCGCAGTAAGCACTGCAGTGTTGTAATGAGCTATTTTAAGTGATCATTATTGATTTATATAATTAATCAATATACATACATTACGCATTTGGACTGAAGCCAGAAAGGTTTGGACAGTGCAGTGGCTTTGTTCTAGAGGTTTTTGTTTTGCAATCCGTTTTGTAACTCTGTTGTTTCGCAACCACTTTGGAAAATACCTGATTTCATGCAGTCTCCTCCACATCAATCAGTTTGGTCTTCAAATCAAAGGCCAGAGCTAAATTTGGGTCTGCCACTCCAATTAGGCACTGGAGACAGAGGAGAGAAATGGGGTGAGGGAGAGGCAGCAAGGAGCGGGGAGAGGACAAACTGAGAAAAAGAAACTGGGAAAATGGGTTACTGATTACATACATCTCTGGCAGTATCACTCTGACCCGCTGTGTGTGTTTGTGTGTATGTGTGTTACACCATAAATGGACATTCCTGGGTACAGCTCCTGTTATGTGACTAGAAATTTCAAGAATCTGTTTGTAAAAGGCCACTGATAAAATCATTGGATTTCTTCCCCGACATAATGAAAATGTATTTTTAAATTATACAAGGTTTTATATTAGTGGCCTCAAACTGGAGGCGCCTCATACTACATAATATTCAGAGAATGTTTATAGTCAATTGAGCACAGTTTCAGCTCTTGATTTATGTGTGCAGATTCTGTGCATTTATTTAAATATGTTTATGGTACCTCTGAGCACCAGCTGTAAATAAATAAATGATGATTTTCCTACCCTGAATAACACACTGTGAAACCCCTAATCTGTGTGTGTGTGTGTGTCTGTGTGTGTGTGTGTGTGTGTGTGTGTCCCTCTTTCAGTTCAAGAGGATGTTGAACAGGGAGCTGACTCACCTATCAGAGATGAGCCGCTCTGGGAACCAGGTGTCTGAGTTCATCTCCAGCACCTTCCTGGGTGAGTGATGACTCAGTAAGATGGACTTACTGGTTTGGAAATTAAAAGAAAATCTCCATCGTGCCTGAGGAAGTAAAAAAAAAATATTTGGTGCCAAGCCTGAGACTCTTTTTCCTATTTTGTATATGGCCAAATACATGCACTATACATCATTTATCTGTATCCTGTTTAAACTTCCAGAACTATTAATCTCATAAACACATAAACATAAACACCTTAGTATCACATTCGGCTACTATTTAAAGGGAGAAAACTAGAACCACTATAACATGAACCCAAAATGAAGTGTGCAACAAAAGACTTCATCCTCATATTCACCCTCCACTTGTGTTTCACTGCGTCTCAGACAAGCAACATGAAGTGGAGATGCCATCTCCTCAGACGCAGAAGGAGAAGGAGAAGAAGAACAAGCCCATGTCGCAGATCAGCGGGGTAAAAAAGCTGCAACACTCCTCCAGCCTCACAAACTCTAACATCCCTCGCTTTGGCGTCAAGACTGAGACTGAGGACGAACTCGCTAAGGTGTGTTTGCGTGTCTTGACAAACGTTGAACACACAGACTGCACATAAATACAATGCACACTATCTGACATGTAGTTTGGAGTAGGGGCTTGGGTAATAATGAAGGAATAGAAAAAAAGAAGAATTGTTTCTAATTGTGTCTTTGATTCCTTTTTCAGGAACTGGAGCATGTGAATAAATGGGGCCTTAACGTTTTTAAAATCTCAGAGTTCTCTGGGAATCGGCCACTGACAGTCATGATGTACACGATATTCCAGGTTAACAACCGTCACTTCTTTCTGTCTTAATCTTCAAAAACAAAATAAATGTTGAACCCTGAAATTGTTGTGACCATAAACTCACTCTTTTGTTTTCTGGTTTGCAGGAGAGAGACTTGTTAAAAACTTTTAAAATTCCACTTGACACCTTTATAACATACCTGATGACCTTAGAAGACCATTATCATGGCGATGTGGCCTACCACAACAACATTCATGCTGCTGACGTCACCCAGTCAACTCACGTGCTGCTATCCACCCCCGCCCTCGAGGTGTGTGAACACATGAAGCAAATGAACACACTCGCACAGATGCACAGACATACACACAAACACACACCCACGCTTCCACAATCAGCTTCAATCAAACTCCTGCTCAAAGTCCAATCAATGGCTCTTACTTGCAAGGATATTTTTGTCCAACGATTTGATTCTCTCATCAATGCCCTTCCCTCTTCCCCTCTGTGCTTTTCTTCCAGGCTGTGTTCACAGACCTTGAGATCCTAGCTGCCATCTTTGCCAGTGCAATTCACGACGTGGACCATCCCGGAGTCTCCAACCAGTTCCTCATCAGCACCAGTGAGTCTAAATACAGCACTGTCTTAGCAGCTCTGTCAGTGGCTCAGCAGTGTCATTAGTGCGTATTCACAAGCACAAACACACACTCACAGTCACCCAAGTGGGAACATGCACACCTCTGCATCATTAGTATGCGCATACACACACTGGCATATTGCAGACGATTAACCTTAATCCCATGAATAAATATGCAGTACAAATATGATGCATATTTACTGTACATGGATGGCAAAAGAACAGGACACACATGTACATACATAGATGTTATGTGCGTACACATGTGCATGTCTTCACCAGCATGTGTTTCTTTAGTTAGGTCTGATGGCTGTGACATGTGTTTCCAAGGCAGAAGAGTTCAAAGAGAAGATCAATATTGCAATAATGCCCTCTCTCTTTTCTTGTGCTCTCGGGGATAAAAAGACAAAACACATCCTCCCAAAGACATATATGTAGTAGGCCACACTGCACCTTGGTTTGTAATCTTAGGTGGTAAATGCTGTTGTTTGAATAACAAGGTGGGATAGTAGTTGGGCCACCCAAATTACAAAAAATATTAAATAAATGAATGAATAAATAGATAAATAACACAGGGTAATTCTTGCTTATTGGCATTTTTTTGGAGAGGTATTTGATGTCATCTGTCTTGCTTTGACTGATCAATTGGCTCGCACCAGACCTATCTTATCATTGCAGAAAACATTAAGATAGTGTGGGTTAAGTTGGAATGTTTAAAACCACGGGTTAATATAATGGAGGTGGATCAAATTCTATAAATTAATTAAAATTAAAAAATTTATATTCTTTTTATAATATTAAATTCTAACAATCAACAGCAACCTCTCTTTCCGGGACAGTTTTTCTTATAGGGACTATAAAAAATAGTCCCTTTTTTCATATTTAAGTTCTGTGGATTTTGCAGTAATTCTGGGAAGAGATAATATGTGTTGTTTCTTTTTATTGGTGTGATAAAATCTGCATAACAAGATACCACCAAGGGTAGTGGGTTCAGTGTGTTGTGTTCGTAACTGAAGTGTCCTCAAGCAAGAGACTCAACCCCTGCTATTTCTCTGCTTTAACTGACTCACTCATTGCTGGAGGTGCCACAAATATTGCCTGATTTGGAATAATTTAGAGGAAAACACAAACAAATAAAGTTTATATCCACTGGGTATCCCTTTAAACACCCATTGTAGAGACCATTACAAATGTGAGTGTTGCATGAAAGTATTAGTAATACCTTATGAGACCAGAAAACACTGCAGTCTCACACACTTAACACACAAAATGTGTTGTGCTTCCCATAAGCCCAAATGGGGAATCCCTGCAGTAAAGGCAGTGTGAGTCATCCTAGTTAGGAGCCACCAGAATGATCTTCTGTCAGCCACAGAGCAACAGAGCAGGATCCCCTTTCTCCCTTCTGCTGCTCTGTTCAATGTGGCCGGGACTAATGCATCTTAATGGAAAATCAAAATACACATAGAGGACCCTCAAATGACCCAGAGTGGGGAAACCTCTCAGTGGAAAACATGCTGGTGCTTTCTTCTGCTACTCACAGAGCAAGGGATACATAGAAATAGAATATTTGGATGGGTGTATTAGCAATGAAATTTGTAGATCATGTTACAGGGTGTGCCTTGTTGCAGATGCATTGCCTTATAATATAACCAGGACAAATTAATTCACATTTTCCTAATATTATGTCTTCCTTGCAGATTCAGAGCTAGCGTTGATGTACAATGACTCGTCGGTGTTGGAGAACCACCATCTAGCAGTTGGTTTCAAGCTTCTACAAGAGGAGAACTGTGACATCTTCCAAAACTTGACCAAAAAACAAAGACAATCACTGCGAAAGATGGTCATTGACATTGTAAGTGAAAAGTTTTCTTCTATATAATCTCTTCTATAAATTTGATAGCAACTGAACTAGCTTATTCACCGGGGAGTGTAATGCATTATGTACACTACCGTATACATTAATTCAATCACTGTGCAGTATTGAATACTAACAGGTTGTTCTGGGTATTCCCAGGTGCTAGCAACAGACATGTCCAAGCACATGAATCTACTGGCTGATCTGAAAACTATGGTGGAAACCAAGAAGGTGACCAGCTCCGGTGTCTTGCTGTTGGACAACTACTCGGACAGGATACAGGTCAGAATAAGTCTGCCGACCAGTAACAGCTGTTTTTTTCCTCCATTTATTTATCTTGGTTAATTCAAATGAGTAATTTAAAGTGTATGGATGGATGTTAATATTTTTTAATTATTAATGTTCAAAAACAGTGTGTGACACAGTGGTTTTCAAACTGTCCCTGAGTGGGTTGTAGTGAGGAAAAGGAAAAAGGAGGACTAGAATATTTTAACTTTCATCACATTTTTTGGGAGTTGGAACAAGGGAAGAAATGACGTTGGCCTTTTTTTATTGATTTAATTGATAGTTTAATCATTGTTGGATCATTGACTAATAAAGACTGTTTTATCTTGAAACCTAAAACTTCCTTGACATTCTCTCAAATTTGGGTTCTATGGACTAATGTACATCTATTGTGGGGGTCCTAGACATGAAAAAGTTTGGGAACCCCCAGTGTGATAGATATGTGAATTTCTGTCTCAATAAAAAGAGCATTAAAAAACAAAAAAACAACAACAAAAGAAATACAGAATTAGTACCTGGTTGCTGCAGAAAGTGACAACTTGTGGGTCATGTGATGCAGTAATGTGATAGCTTCCTCCATTTTGGACTCTCCATTCTCTTAAAGGTCAGATTTATAAATTGTCAAACACTGAAACCAAGGCCCAAATTTACTTCACCCCTGCAAGGAAATCTCCTAATCACAACAATTTCATTAAAATGAGATGATTTCAGCCTGGGCATCGTGTTTTAGACCTTATTATTTGTTATATTCAGGTTCTCCAGAATATGGTGCACTGTGCAGACCTGAGCAACCCCACCAAGCCTCTCCAGCTGTACCGGCAGTGGACGGACCGCATCATGGAGGAGTTCTTCAGCCAGGGTGACCGAGAGAGAGAGAGGGGCATGGAGATCAGTCCCATGTGTGACAAACACAATGCTTCAGTAGAAAAGAACCAGGTAATATATATACACACACACACACACACACACACACACACACACACACAAAATGTACTATACATGCACATGCATATTGCGTATGGACACACACTGAGTGACTTATTTGTCCCTCCATGCTTCCTGTAGGTTGGTTTCATAGACTATATCGTTCACCCTTTGTGGGAGACGTGGGCTGACCTGGTACACCCGGACGCCCAGGACATCCTGGACACGTTGGAAGACAACAGGGAGTGGTACCAAAGCACCATCCCCCAAAGCCCCTCCCCTGCTTTGGACGATCCTGAAGATGGCACTCGACCCCCAGGAGGGGACAAGTTCCAATTTGAGCTCACCCTGGAGGAGGACGGGGAGTCGGACACTGAGAAAGACAGCGGCAGCCAGCCGGAGGAGGAGGAGGAGGAGGAAGAAGACGAGGAGGAGGAGGAGGAGGAAAACAGCTGTACTGACTCTAAAACACTCTGTACGCAGGACTCTGAATCAACAGAGATTCCTTTGGATGAGCAGGTGGGGGAGGACGAAGATGTGGAGGAGGTAGCGGAAGAGGGGGAGACACCCTGCTCACAACCGTGTGTTGTGGAGGAAGAGGTAGCAGAGGAGGAGGAGGAGAAAGAGCAAACCCCCCAGACATAGCAGTTTATGGACAGCACCAGATTAACTGTTCTTCTTAGTAATGACAGATGATTATTTATAGAATATTTTTTGGGTTTTGTGGAGTCTGTCTGTGTTTTTTATACATCTATGTTTATGGTTCCAAAGCGTGCGCTGCTCTCCACCTTGGCCACTCCTCCTGTCAGCTTTGTTCAGACACACCCACCGGTACTTCTTCAAGTTTTTTTGCACTCAGGAAAACTCCTTTCCATTCCCGTTCGTACTGAAGTGGTGTGTCTTTATTTCACTTTCACACCTCCCCTTTACAAGCTTAAGTTTCGGACATGGACGAGCAGTTCTCAGTCTGCTCAGTGCTGTTCATACGATACATAATATCACATTTCCCTTCCCTCCGCTTCGTCTCAGCCTCGCCTGAAAGTTTAGCAGTGTTTCCGTGTTTTATCAAGTGCCCATATTCTACAGAGATGGTTATCGGTGTGTTCAAGGAGAATCTCCCTCTCAGTTAGGTCATTTCCTCCCCACTGCGAATTACGAGGCATTTTTTTAAGCTGCCGTTCCGCCGAAAACCTGTTGGGACGCCGCAGAGACGAAAGCTGCAGCACACTGGGGAGCTTCTCGAGACACGTTTCTGATGTGGAAGTCTTCCTTGAAAACCTGACTGATACAAAGCTCAAATCTAAACAGCCATGATGCTGTCCTAGACCTCTTTAATTTTTGTATTGTACTGTATGTAAGATTCAGATATTTTCTAGAATTTACTTTTGCAATCCTAGGCTTTCTGTTGTTAGCAATGAAGATTAGAGAACTTTTGGGAACCAATGGGGGAGAAATGTGTCAGTGTTTTGAAGGCTGGAGTGTTCTGAGGCATTTGCACTTGCTCCAATAGCATTTATACTACTATTCCCATGCCACTATACTCATATTTTGGTTAGTCCTGTGAGTTGAAATTTGGAATTAATTCATAATAATTCTTATTTTTAAGAGCGTTTTCACTGAGAAGGAAGCAGGAACCTGAAGTCTTATGCTTTACTCTCATTGAAATTGTTTGTGAAGTGGATGAAGCCTTTAAATTTTATTATTGTTGCCTGCAGTTTTTTTGAACACATCCTGAGACAATGCAATGCTTTGTAGTTGATACAAAAAGCACCTTTTTTTTAGAAGCTTGATTAGTGCTCCGAATATACAGAAATAGTAATGGTGTTTGAAAACTACTGGGGTGATTTTATACCAATGTTATGAAAGCTTTTATTGCCCTTTCTTTCTTTTTTGTTGCCCATTTTGTTTGATGTACACATCAACAGCTGCATATCTGCTTGTTTTTCGCCACTTCATTTTCTTTTACAAGAAGCTATAAGAATTTATTTTGTTTAATTTTGCCATTACAACATTAAACCAAGTTGCTGTCTTTGTTTTTCGACAAGACAATCAGCTCCGTTGCATAGTCATCAGATAAGACTATCCTCTACTTAGATACTCTAATGCACTGATATATTCATATATCACCACTTTAATATTTGAATATGTTTTAACTCGCCAAAACACTCACTCATGAATACTTAGGCTTGAACAGTGCTGTCTTACACCTCGGCCAAGAGTCTCTTCCTCATGTTTTCACTTTACACCTGATGCTATTATTTATTGGTATATTTTTCTATTTGTTAAGTCAGTTTTTGCAATATAAAGGTGGTACAGTAATTATTTCACTGTAGCATAGACCACAATACAGGCTTGCCAGTTACAATACCCAAATATACTTTCTTTTTCTCTCCGTGTACATAAAATATAGAAAATCAACAAATGTAAAAAAAAAAGAAAAAAAAACACTTGAAATACTGCACACTGCTTTTTTAAGAGTGCTTGTTTTAATTATGTGTCATTTCCAAACTTTTTATTTAATCTTTCATTTTGTGCCAAGATTTATTTTCTCTCTTTATTCATCCTCACCCAATGCCCTTACCTATAATAAAAAAATTCTGGTTTTATCGCTGTTTACAAACATATATTTATTGTGCTGTATATAATATATAATTATTAATGTTATTACTATCATAATGCCGTTTGTCGTAAATGGTTGATTCTTATCATCCCTTTTGGTGATGGTGTGGCTGTATTACGTACCTCTTGTTGAGAGAATGTTTATTACACATGAGCTTCAGTGTAAAAATGATCCATCGACATGTTGCTTATCTGAGAACTAGCTCAGTGAAGAGAAGGGGAAAGCCAAATTGTTTTTTAAAAAGAAACTGTTCCTTGGCCCATGGGCTGTGCCTTAAATTCAACGCATGTCATTTACTTTTAGCCTTTTTTTTTTCTATTTTATTTTCTAGTTCTCTTTTTGCTGCAGTAGTTAATCTTTTGGCTTGGGTTGGCCTGATCTCCTGTTATGAATTTGAAAATGTTGCCTTTTTACTGTCACAGCCAAACACAAATTGCTCTATCAGAAAAAATGTGGCACTGGAAAATATGTTGTCAGTGCAGAAGTTTCATTTCAGGTCAACCACAAGTCATAGATTTACTACTTGAGTGATGTGTGGCCTAAAGCCAGATGTCCAAGAGTCGTATTTGCTGTAGACCTGGTCTCAACAACTCACACCTTCCTTACGCCCTGCCACTATACACTCAAAGACGTGACACAACCTGGTCGGATGTAAATAATATGGGAGTAACTTTGCTTTGTGTGTGTGTGTGTGTGTGTGTGTGTGTGTGTGTGTGTGTGTGTGTGTGTGTGTGTGTGTGTGTGTGTGTGTGTGTGTGTGTGCAGAGTTACTGCGGTGTCGTCTACTATCCGCGTGGTTGTATCACAGCTACAAACACTGAATGGGGTGCAATAGGAGTGTGTAGTTGCCGCTCGAGCACAGCCTACGAAGCACAGAGGCTTTGAGACACATCTGCATGTTCAGCCACTGCTGCATTAATTATGGCTGAAACACTGACAGTGTGTTGCTTATCTATGCTCGGCCCACACCTCCACTCACATTACTTGCAATATCCAAAACCACTGACATTTTTCTGCTTGGACAGGAGAAGGGTTTAGTATATTTCTGTAGTGAAGGGAGTGGTTGGGAGGGGGGGAGGGATGGGGGGGGATAGGGGTTTGGGTGAGAACATCATTGTCCCGAAACAGGGACTCTTATTTTGACACACATACTGTAGATTCTAAACAGCCCTGGACCAATGGAAACAGTGGGTTCTTTTCTCATTATGTGTTCTATTTTTTATGGTATGAAAGGAAAACACAAACTGTAACTTAAAAAAAGGTCTTCAGGACAATTATTTTTTGGGTTATGTCTTTAGAATGCCAACTTGTCTGGAAGTTTCACAAGACAATTGAAATGTTATTTTAATGGATTCCTTGTTAATTGCAGTTTATTGGATAGCACTGTAGATCATACAACTTTATGTAAAAAACACATAAAAAAGAATGAAAAAAAGTTTTTATATGCAATGGATTAAATAAAAGCATGGGTTGATTCTGCCTACTCACTGGTTTCTGGTTGTCATTGTTTCAGATGGTGATACACTGTCAAGTGTGGGTTGGATGCACCATACATTTACTTCATTAACAAAAGAGATCACAGCCTGAGAGGAAAAACCCTGAATACACTTTCTATCTTTGGCATTTCAGCCATTCCCTGCAAACTGCTCTGGGTGTGAGTTTCACACCTGGTTGTGGTCTGAAGTGTTTCTGCTCTACATTCACTCTGTCTTTATATAGCATCTGTTCATAGATATTGGTAAAAATCTATGAACAGTTTCAGTCTTTGTGTACTACCTATATCTGGGTGTGATATCATCCATTCATTTTAACTGAACAGTGTTATCTTCCATATCATATCATCACACCGCTGCTAAGGAAGTCACATAACTTTTATATCTGTAAAGCTGTTGTACTTGTATACTAGTATTTTTTAACTTGTCTCCAGAAGTGATTATTCTAGAACAAAGAAATGCAATGAAAGAAGTGCAATAAAGAAATAAAGGAATATGTATATGATGCAATAAATCCTTCTTTACAACAGTAGGGTTACACACTTATATAAATCTAGTACATTTGTGTGTGGAGTATTTTTAAGGTATTCAGATCCTTTAAATTTAATGACAAAGTTGTCATGCAAAAATTTAAATTGCCTTTTTACAAATAAAGGTCCTGCAGTATGGAAAATAACAGAAGCATTAGCTGCAAAGTGTATTTAAAGTATCAAATGTTTATACAGTATTTTCATGTTGTAGCTGGTGGAGATGAAGCTACTATTAACATATTTTACTACTGTTACAACTGTTACATAGTTTTATCTGCAACAATGCATAATATTTGATTAAAAAAATCACATTTTGTTTGTAAAATCAAAATTTTGAAATAATTAGTTCTACAGCTTTCTGATAAAAATAGGAGTAAAAACTACAATACTGGTCTCTGAAGTTTAGGGGAGTATGAGGACCTTTTATTAAAAAAAACTACTTAAGTAAAGAACTTGAGTAAATGGATTTAGTTACATTATTAAACATTGGATTATTATTACTGATGAATAAACATAATAGCTAGTAGTATTTTAATGTAGCTGCTCAGGTGACGCTAATTTGAACTCTTACATGTATTGCTGGGTAGCTTAATGTATATCAGTTAACTGTAAAAGTAAAATCTTATTGTGTAAATTAACTGACTGTAATACGCCTAAAAAGTCTAATTTCAATCTGAAATGTAAGGAAGTAGACATAAAAAAAAAAAAAGCTTAAAATGAAGGTGAATGTACATTCCACCACCAAAATTGTAGATAATGTCAAATATTCCACATTCATCACCAGTTACAACGTCTCGATGTCTTCTTGGCGCAGGTGTAGCGCTCCAACACTAGGTGGTGCACATTCCCTAGAAATGAAACAAGGCTTCCATGCTGCACAACTGAACAGAGTAAACTGAGACAGCATGCCCAGGCAGCAGCCTGAAGTCCTTCTTTTATGCTTCCATATACCCAGCAGAGAGCACGAGAGAACACAGAGACCCACTGATAGAATATGATTTATTTCCTATAATCTCAAAAACATATTTCTTAGTTTGCTTGCACTCCGAGAAACAAATATATTCAGTTATATGTAAAGTCATACTGCTCTAAAATGAGACTTGACCAGAGTGACTGTTTGGGCATCCAAACTGCCACGTGACTATTCCTCTATTAAATGAATCTTGACTGAAGATCAATACAATAATTTATTTCATGGCTATTAGCATAAATTATAATATCACACACATATACAGATGCACACGCACAAAGCACGTGTACACACATATGCGCAAGGTCTTTGAACTAGTGTATTTATGTGTATCCCTTGTCTTGGAATTACAACAGTATGGCATATGGCATGGACTAAGTCATTTCCCTGACTATCTTTCACAATAAGACTGCATTTTGACATGATAACACAAGTTCAATCAACACCCAACAGTTAGCAGGAACAGCATATAGTACGTGAGTACATTTGTACAAAAGGTATACACAAACAAAACACTATATTACGTAATCTGTCTGTTCAATATGGCAGGTACACACACACACACACACACACACACACACACACATACACGCTTACACACACACTAAGTCACACATTCAGTGGCTGCAGTTACTGAACAAAGCACACACTCCTTTTTTAGAGCTTGTACATCAGTTTCAGAGCCAGACTGTCACTCACATACAGCAGATAGAGTCATTGTACTTGAGGACAGGAGGAACTATATACAGGGTTTCATTCATAAAATATTGCACTTATTGGCCCATTGCATCTCACAGCGAGTGCTATGACAATGCTCCTAATTCTGTAACACAGAGCGATATATATACACTATCTTATTATATAAATCTACATAGATAAGTCAGGACTGACGTCATGCAATTTTTTGGAACTTTTATTCAACTATGCAACAAACAACTGACGATGCTAAAGGAATTGTGATGTTTTGGCACAAATGTTTTTTCTCTCTCTATGAATTACAGAACTGAAATAAGCTACAACTTTTATCCTATATGGACTTAAGTTATCATTAAGACCACAACAGTACTGTATATGCCTGCTAGGGGAAGTCTCCCATTTTTAAACTACCGTATGTCTATGATGTTTTCTAAGCTGAGATTTTTTTTTCCAAGAGGGATTTAATTTCATAACATGAACGTGAAAATTTAGCATGCTGACTCAAAAGTTAAACAATATTTTGTATATATATGGCTGTTATTCCATGCCAAAGCTGATCAGTTGTTTTATATCATACACTGTATTGAGCCTTATCAGTGTGGGATTTTTATTTAATGAAATCCTGGATTTGTTGCTATCTTATTGAGGACAGTTAGGTTCTATCTTTAGATAAAACCGTACATATGATTGACTTTTAGGCAGCATGCTCATCGCATCAAACTATAAAGGGTCATCTTAGAGGCTAAGCACATAGAAATAGTTGCTTTACAGATATACTTATTAGAGAAATCACACATCTACAGACAGCAAAACGTGGAATAGTACTCACATCAACATTATATGTACTGGATTCATCCTAAAAGTAAGCATGATGGAGGAACTTACAGAGGCCGTGTTGGAGATGCTAAAAGGCCACTTTTTTTATCCAAGGTAGATGATTTTTTGATGACTAAGTTGCACTCATTTGTGACTCATGACTCAGACATAAACCTCACACTCATGCGAACGCGCGCTCACTTATTGTACAGTCACACGACAGCCACACACTCATTACACAAAAGAAAGCCGCTACATCCTATAGTGCACTAAATCATCGATTTGGCAGATTTAGGAGACAAAACAATCCTATAAAAGGAAAATACATACTGTACAAAAAATAAAAATAAAATAATCATTAAAGCACTCACTGACTATCCTTCATTTTATAATTATTATAGGTCTTAAAGATTTTAAAGGTCTTAAGGATTAACTGTACATCATGACTATGGACTATTTCCAGCCTTAAGAAACATACTTGGTTTATAACCATAACCATACTAACTAGCTGAAGAATGAGAATATGGTGTCTCTATATTCTAGATATCCTGTAATGTGACACATCCTACACTAGCCATGTCTGTTTGTCTGGTTATTTGCTCTTGATATAAGGTGATAAAGTTGAGAGATAATACGACTGGATTCTGTAATTCTACTACTAAACATGGTTTGAACTGTAGTCCAGAGAAAGCGGCACTAGCAGGAGTTATAATGCTGGGGGGGAGAACAAAACTGTGCACACTCTACCACCTTACAGGACCTGCGCTGCCCTCTCTTTCCTTCCTGACATCAGTCACTAACAGTTGCATCCAGGCTGCTGGAGGGGCGGAGCACTGTCCGTCAGTTTGGCAGTGGGAGCTCCTGTGGTGACGGCCGGATCAGTGTCCAAGCTCTCGGACATCTTGTCGCAAATTAGGTCGACGAGACGTTCAAAGGTCTGCTTCACATTGACGTTGTCCTTGGCGCTGGTCTCAAAGAACTCAAAACCTTAGAAAGAGGAAGAGCACCAGTAATATGAGAACATGAAGATAAAGCCACAAGTAAGAGAGCGATCATATGATTAATATTTCTGATTACAGTTTTAGGAAAAGCTTTGGCAGTTATTGTTGCTCAAGGTTGAAAACAAAGCTGCTTCTGCATAGCTGTATTTCTGATAATATCCCAAAAGACAACAAAGTAAGAACAATGTCATGCTTTATGTCATGACAACAATGTTATGATGATGGCACCCAATTTAAATGATATAAAGGGGTAAATGTTGCTAAGACTTACCTAACTGTTCTGCCAGCAGTCTGCCACTATCCACTGAGACCACTCTCTCCTCTTCCATATCACACTTATTTCCAGCCAGAACCACCTGTGCATTATCCCATGAGTAAGTTTTTATCTGAGTTGACCTGCATGTAATCAGAAACAAATACAAAAAAAAAAAAAAACATCACAGTGAAATAAATGCTGTTGCTGCATTTATTTAAAAACTTAAATTCACGATTGTTTTTGTGACACTTTTTATTGGACAGGAAATTAACGTGAAAGATGGCAGAGCAAAGGACATGATGTAAAGTTCACTTCCCATTTGGTCCGATCACAAACAGTGATTACATCACCTTACTTTTGGCATCATGTAATATTTGAGTCACTGATGGCAGCAGAGGAAAAGTGGGTCGACTGCCACCCTGTTCTGAAAACATGCAATCAAAATCAAAATAATGGTGAACTATACAGAAGATGCACACATCTTGCAAATGTGGCCCAGTAGACCATTATTTGAGCTTTGTGTAGAGCTTTTAAGCCTTTAATTAAGGTAGCTTGTGTATAAATATGAGGTTTAATTAAAATTACATCAGTTGCAATGATAACATTAATTTAGAAAACTGAATATTTCTGTCGGTTTTGTAAATTGCCACAGACAGGACAACTAGATAGTGTACATAAAATGAAGCATTACCTGTATCATATATTGTAATTACTTTGAAGGAATCATTTGTATTGTGAGCCATGTCAGATGTTCCTGCACGATAACAATTTCAACATTCACATTCACAGGGATTTAGAGAGGTGCCTGTAAGTTTTGAGAAGGCATTTAGAGAACAAATATCTCCTGTGGTGTTGCTGCTTGACTAAAAGTAGGGCAGCTAACATACCACAGGCTGAAAGCAGTAGAAAGAGCGGCAGTAAGAAAGAAAGGAAGAAACAACAACTCAGAAAAAGGAGAGGTAGAGAGAGAGAGAGAAAGAGAGATAGAGAGCAGCATGATGTTGGCACTCTTCCTCTAGATCTGACTTGTTAAAGCGGTTCAAATGTGGGTCATTTTGACTCCAACTGCTGATAATGTTTACTGACAGAAAAACAATTGTATTTGTATCAAGTCTAACAGAGCTACTATGCAGGCTATAAAAACTCTGTATTTACCAGTGATTTTTAACAATGAGGACTAAGAGGACGGGGCAACATGCAATGCTTTCAAATTGTTGCTGTAATAAAATTGTTTGTGTATAGTATGTAATTAATTTACACAGTTTCTTCAAATTCCTACATTTTATGTCAGCATTACAATATTTCCCTGTTTTGTCTCTGTCACGGGCAGGAAATGAGCACGTCACAAGCTTAATTCAGCCACAGTTGGGGGAAGGAGCCGTTGCCATAGCAACCTCTTCCCCCCCTACAACCTCGTCATAAGGAACAAGGGAAAGAGAAAGTGGAATTAAAGCCTGTGGCAAAGGCACAAAGGAAGAATTCTGGTTATATGAAAGGTATAAAAAAAGAGCCTCTTCCCTTGTATACAGTTGACTGATTTGTGCACTTCAAGTAAGCTCACAGGTAACGCTCCAGGATTGTCACTGCTGGTGACACACTTGGGTCCATTAATTAAGATACCCATCACAGACCGCGCTCAGACTGTGGTATTCCATCAAAGTGTCAGACAGGTCTTTAAAGAATAATAGGTGTATCTGGCTCTGACCTCTCTTTACAAGAAAGCCTTGTTGTCCAAGTGACAGAAAATGTATTCCAATACAAATCTGAGGATGATAATGAGGAGCATTTTAACACAATGCATGCTAATAGCTTAAATAATAACATAGCTAATTACTTTAAAGGTCCAGTGTGTGATCTAATAATCTAATAGTCATAGGTATGTTTTCCTTAGGATATAATCATCTAAATATAGGAACTGTTGGGTTTTCTTTACCTTAGAATGTTTTTTATCTACAGACGCATGTTGAACTGCAACAATTCTACAGTAGCCAAGCATGAACAAACCAACAATCCATTCTCATTCCCCAGTCGTCAAATACAGAAACTTCACTACTAAATCCTACACACTCTTTAAATATATATTTAATATTTTCACTTGGGTTAAATGCAGCTGCTTTAGCCATGACAGGTGCTTCCTAAAGCAGCTGTCAAGTGACGAGGGCCAAGTAGACAGTGGCCTTAATAGTGATTGTCAGACTCCTACAATGGATGCAAGCCAAACAGCATGCAGGTGAAGCGTCAGCTGCAAATCCTATACCACCATCTATATCATGTCTGTGTGAGTCATATCATCATTTCCTTGCTGCTGATGCATCATGAGAATATAACCATGATGATCCAGGAATCTTTCCTCTCAAATGCTCATTCTGTCTATTCCCGTAATCTCCTGCTGCCAGAGGGAGATAACCGTATAGGACAGCAGGGTGTAAATTAAATGGAAGATGACAGTTTCTTAGCACAACATGTGAGGAGAGTCAGGCTGTATGGAAAATCAGCAAAATGTACATCAAAACACACATTTATCTCTACAGCGGAAATCCCTCAGTTTCACCAAAGCTTCCTGGCTGTTTGTGCTACGCTGTTTGTGCTGATGGGAATGTGCTTGTTTCTAGAACAAGAATCCTAACCCAGAAACCTGGTTTCTGCAGCCAATTGAATGTCGCCTTCCAAGTCCTGTTTTAGGCGTGAATGCATCATCATGAATCTTGACATTTGGGCTTGGCTTGCAGACACTTGTGTGACTCATGAATGGACGAGAGCCACGACCTTGACAAGTTTCCCTTAGATCTCCAAGCATGGCAAAGATGCATGCACACACACTACATGACAAGACAGAGAGAGAGAAATGTACTGCTGCTGTTAGGAGATAAAAATGGTAAGCCTTTTTAGGTTTGCAGGAGGTCATGTACAATATAGTGTGCAGCATATCAACTGATTGCATTATAGCGGCAGACTGGAAGGCCTTTTGCTATGTTGAACAATACAATATAATCCACAGGAAAAAAAAAACAAGACAAGAGATGACATCTACATCCAAAAATGATCAAAAACAGACAAAACATTAACTCCAGAGAGCCCAAAACAACTCACCAGTCCTGCACAGCGCCGAAGGACTCCTCGTTGGTGATATCGTACATTAGGATGAAGCCCATGGCCCCGCGGTAGTAGGCAGTGGTGATGGTCCTGTAGCGCTCCTGGCCAGCTGTGTCCTACACACAGACAACATGATTTGGCATTGCTGTTAGCTGATGTGACCCTGCACGACACACATACCTTATATATATATATATATATATATATATATATATATATATATAAATCCATATTGGTAAACGAGCAGACATGTACACTGTTAATCTGCAGCTAACAGCAGCAAAGATTTAGGCTGTTATCTACATCTCTACATCTACATTTACTTATGGATACGTTTGTTGTGTTCATGATGTGGAAACAATCATTATGATAATTGCCTCACTGGCTTTGCATTGATGAGATGCCAAAAACAGCATTTCAGTTTTGGCTGAAGTGATTGATTCTTTCCTCTCCTCAATAAAATAATCGCTCAGCTGTGTTAAACCCTTGGTGGTGCAGTATCCAGAGCTCAGCTCGTGGCATGCATTTCTCAGATAAAAAGGCAAAATATAGAGGTTAAATGATTTGAGAAACTGCTTGCTGTTTGTGATAAGGCTGAACAAACTGCTCAAAGGCAAAGCAAGGCGAGTGATTACACAGCAATCGAGGAGTAGTACACAGATTGCCCTGGAAACAAGCGCCCGCTGCAGCCTTTGCTACGAGATGTCAATGAAAATGCTAATGGACCCAATTCAGACAGATGAACCTTTTATACACTTTGTCCATGAGGAAGGAAGAGAAATGTGAGTATTTTTGTTTGATCTTTCTCATTGCACATGTGTAGATTTGTTGTTTTATGATTTAGTTTATATCTATATATTATATAATAATAAATCCTAATGATGTCCCTCCTGTTTATATTGAATGTTTACTGAGCTGTTGTTCCACACCCACAACAAGTGTGTTTGCAGGCTTCTCTGAATCATGATGGAGGACTTCTGGCTGCTCTACTTGGCTCTTGTTAAACAGAAGCCCCGACAGGCAGCACTGGATTGTATTTGCCACATTGGTTTTGCTCTCTATCAGTCTGTACATGGCTGCAACAGTGTGCCTGTTATAGCCAGAGGACAGCTCTGACCTTCACTCCAGAGACAGAGCTCACATTCTGCCGAGCTTACACACAAACACACCACAGCTAGGACCTTTTGTCAGTTTACAAAGACTCTAAAATTGCATGTGAATGTGTGCATTCTTAATGTCAGCAGCTAGTGTTTGTTGTATAAATAGCATATTTTCTGGAGTGACATTCAGAACAACATAAAAGGAACATGAATTTGTTTTTTACCAAGTCATGATACAGTGTGTGAAAAATAATCCAAATGTTGATTTAACTTCAGTCTTTTTTCGTGCCTGAATTCTGAGACATTTCAGTATCGATTGATGTCCGAGTGCTTGACAATGACCTTTGCATTTCCAGGCTATTTCAGTGAGTCGGTTCTCAGTTAAAAAGACAGAGCAGGACGGGAAAAAAACTGCTGAGTCCCGTGAATTGGAGCTTCTTGAAAAGCTTCGCTTGTAGTCTGCAGCTCACCAGAAATCAATCCAAAAGGCTGACTACCTCAAGTGGAGAAGCTGACACTCGCCTCAACTCTTCTTCATTCAGTAAAATGAGTTTCAGTTTGTCTTGGCAACGCTCAGTGCTGCATTTCATTCACTTCGGCCAACAAGAGACAACTCGTTGTGTGCGTTTTGACAGTTTTATCTCTCCGCTGATTAATGACGAGACTGCCACAATGACAGTAGCCAATAGCCATCACCTTAAATGGCCACTTACTGTACAGTAAGTCTCAGCACTCTCTGAGCCCATTTAAAAAAAGACAGGCCAATTATATGGATGCTAGGGCGATCCCTTTTCTCTGTGAATATGCTTGTCTTTGCTAATGATGAAAACACATTATCCCGATTAGCCAGTGATTTGACTGTTCAAATCCAGTTTTCACATCCTGCTGGAGCACTTCTTCTCTGGCTCTTTATGTGATTGGCAAACACCAAATGTCTGGGGATGGTAAATTGACAACTATTATGACAAGAGAGAGCAAAACCTCTGAAGGAAAGTTGGCACTTGGTGTAGTATAGACAGAAGGAGAGAGAGAGAGAGAGAGAGAGAGAGAGAATGACAGGAAAGAAAGTGAAAGAAATAGAGAGAAAGAGGGGAACTTTTACAGATCTATCCCCTCACTATCTCAGAGGTATTACGAGACAATCTGCTTTAACAGCTCAGATGAGCTCCTAATTAAACAGCCTCAGACATTCTTCAGTTTCCCACACGTTCTGAGGAAGGTGTTGCTTCTATGTTCTTCCCCGCTGCGTGCCAAACTAACACTTACTAGTCTCCTGTCAGTAATGTTGAGACTTCCATCTGTCTCCATACTTACATCGTAGAGTGTTAAACCAGTACAACACAATACAGCCTTTCCTGAAGCTTTTTCAATTAATTAAGCACACAGCTGATGTTCCACATGTTTTTTAAGACTAAGGAACAAAAAACTGAATGTATCTTTCTGTTGTGAATTGAGATGCTGAAATTGAAACACGAATATTATAAAATGGCTTAGTTAAGATGATAAAAAACATTACTATATGGGTGAAATGGTCCTTTTTGCCTGGTCTGATGTTGTCAAGATTGCTTGTGATGACGCCACAGTGAAATTAGCTTCAGATATACATTCTATACTAAGCATATATAACATGATGCAAAGCCTTTCTGTAACAAGACATGAAAAAGAAAGCATTTCCAGGCATACCAAGCAAGCATGATCTGTCCTAAGAGCCAAACCCATGACTAAAATTGAATTAATGAATAGGTAATCCTGTGCGTGCAGGACTTAGCTCAGCATACAGCCATCAAGTCACAACCTGTCACGGTCCTTGAAACGTATTGATCAACAGAGAGAGATATGGGCAGAGGTCAGGAGAAAGTGGGCTCTGGGCATAGATTGACAGCCTCTTACAGACAGGATTCACTCTGCAGGAACACAAAGATGGGTAGAACAAGAGAAACGAGGGGGCAGGGCGTCTCTGAAGAGCCCCAGCCCCCTTAGAGCTTGGGTAGTCCTCCAGGAGACCTTGGAGGACAACAGAAAACTGATTCCTTACAGATATTAACTGTGTTTCAACATGCAAATGCTGTCGATTTAATGGAAATGGAAATTAGCGCATGGTTGGCATGACAGAAGAAACATGAAAGGAAAACGCTGCTGCTTTGTAGTCTAGAAATGTGTTTTCTTTCTCCTATAAATTACTAGCATTTTGGGTTTCTAAACGGAAGGATTTGCAGGACAAAAACAGGCTGTTCAAGCACATGTTATTATCTGGTGTTAACCAGCCAAGGAGTTGCAGGATAAGCAGAAATAGCTATATCCCACTTCTGGTTTGGTAAGGAGCTGAACATTTTGTGGCTTACTTCTAAATGTTTAATGCTCGGATGTTAATATTTCATACCCAGATCTGCAGTTTGATCCTCTTGTCATTCTTGTACACGGTCTTCACTTTGAAGTCAATGCCCACTGTGCTGACGAAGGCCGAAGTGAAGGCGTCATCGGCGTAGCGGAACAGGAAAGACGTTTTGCCCACGCTGCTGTTGCCGATGATCAGCAGCTTGAACATGTAGTCAAAGTTTTGGTCCCCTCCTTCGCCCTTCCCTTTCACATCCTGAGTAGCAGCCATCTGCAATAACAAAAACAGACACTGAACAGAATGCATTCAGAGCTTCACCTTGAATTAATGTGACACTTTTCAGAGCTGTGACGCACAGAAGATGTGAACCCATGTTATAATAAACGGATTATTCGTCTTTCAGTTGACTCTGTGTTTTACAAAACTTAAAGTTGTTGTGCGCAGACCAGGAAGTAAGAGAGAGAGAGAAAGAGCTAGATGTTGTTCACAGAGTACAGTACAAGCTTGTTGTACATGCCACAGATCAGAGGTGACAGAAGGCTGTGTCAGGCAAAACAGCATGACCAACACAGCAAGCTGTTGTATTGATGAGTATTAGATAACCAGGATTTTAAAGAGCTGAGTTTGTCTTCTCTAAAGCTTTCAAAATGATTAATTTAAGGAGTATTATTATTGGTGGTGCAAAATACTGTTATGAATTGTGGACCTATATTATACTGGGAAAAAAACATGTCAAAGTTCACTCTTTTTTGTCTATTTAAATTATAGAATTAACAGTTCTGAGTGGTGTTTTGCTTTTACGTTTGAAAAGCTCTCCCACTACAAAATACAATCAAATTACACCTTCTTCCATATTGAACCTGCTATAGCCTATTGGTTTACAAAGAAAATAACATGTATAACACATATAATGAACCTTTCACCTTAACAACACATCTACACTGAGCATTTCCGTACAAGCTGTCAGCAGTCAATGACCTAAGAGGACACAAGTACTACGAGTAAGATGACAAGAGCACAGTCATCTTTGCTCCAAGGTGAATGTTTTGACAAAGCCGCTGCGCTCATATGCCAAACATGGACAGCCAACCCTCCTTGTAGTCTCTCCAGTTATAAAAGATGCCGGACCTCCATCCTGCTCAACCTGCACCGGGTTGCTGTTCGCTTCCGTGTATGAAAAAAAAAAAAAAAAGCCCACTGGGGCAGTATTTGCAAGGACACCGAATTCAAAATATCAGTGCAATGCTGGCATTTACACACACCACAATAAAAAGCAGTCGATCTAATATGAAATTACACGATGTAGTTGAGCAGGGAGCTGCATGCCAGCTAATGCCAGACGAGCAATTCTGGGCAGGAGGTCATTTTTATCTATTCATGAAATTCTTCCGTTTAACTATTAATAAATGAAACTAGCCTAACCAAAACGCGTTGAGGACATTGTGCGAACAAACCTGATTTGAAGGCCTCGGCTCTATCTGTATCTGCCCCCTGTTTTGCAGAATACGCTTTATATATATTTGTGTCTAAAGCAGGCGTTGGTTTTCTCTCTCTCTCGCTCTCTCTCTCTCTCTTTGGAGCGCCGACCAATTTCAGCACCTGGGAGCTGTCCCCTCCGCTTCAGATGTGGCACGCGCCCCTGAGCTGACGAGGCTGGCTCGCGTGAGATGAGCACGAGCGAAAGGAAAAAAGTGCGTTTAGTGCATGTTTCTGACGTCACGGGAGAGGGGTGGTTGGGGGGTGGTGGTGGTCCAAGAAGATGGGGGTTGTAGTTTTTTGCCCGGTTTCGGCGCAGAGGCGGAGGACGGCAACAAAAGTAGAGATTCGACTACATTACTCAGCATGCAGCGCAAAAACAGCTGTCAACAGCTGTGTGATTTACTGTGGAAGCGCAGGAAAAATCCTTTGTAGTTCGTTTTTTTTTTTTTAGTTAGCAGCAGACGGTTGTCGCTCCCCCATCATAAAAGAGTAAAACTGCAATACATCATTATTCAGCCCATTATTCTCTGCTCCTGCATGTATGATGGTAGGCTTCAAATAAAATCGTGCATCTTACCTTTCCATACAAGTCCATTTTAGCGTCAGTAATATGTGTCTGTTTTAAAATTCACTCCAGTGGCTATAATAAACTCCCAGCTGGGCAGCATCATTTTTTTTTTTTTTTTTTCAGGAAGCAAATATAATAGCCTCTCCTTTTACGTCAGTGTCGGTTGGTCAGGCTGCCGTCCCCCGCCCATGCAGCCAGCTCCGCTTCACAGAACAAGCGGCTGAGCAAATAAGAGAGGCCTGAGTGGTGATGAATATTATTATTATGGGCCTTTCAATGGGAGCCAGTGCAGGATGGGGGCCGCGGCGGAAGTGCGTAAAAAATGGGCATCTTTGCAATTGTAATCACATCGGGGTCTCTTTTATATAGGCTAGACTTAAGACCTGCATAATTAATGTGAGAGGTGCAAATGCGAAACTGTACTATTGTCACAAGGAAGTGAGGACCGTATTAATTACTCTGATGATTTTTTCATGTGAGTAAATAACCAGTCTTCGCTCATCACTCACATCTGAAAGCCCGACATTGCTTTGTAATAGTCCACCGCACAGACAGACACAACAGACATTATGTAAGCGTGGACCACAACCTCGGATACAAGCCCTGAGTTTGGCTCCCTGTCAGGCGTCTTGTATCCGCCAGACACTTAGCAGACATCTGATAGGGCGTGTAGAAGTTATTGGGCGGGATATAGACCGACTGACTGGCCTTTGACTGGAGGATCTGTGTGCGCAGGCTGCTGGGTGCGCAGACGAGGGGGGCGGGTCAGGTAGGCTGCACAAACATGTCTGTCTTTATAAACCTAGATTTTGTTGTTTGTTGTTTTTTCAACTTGTGTTTCAACGCTGAACCTCGTGTGTGTGTGTGTGTGTGTGTGTGTGTGTGTCTATCTTGTGAAAAAGCAGGTTAATTAGTCATTCTTTTGTTTACTTCAAAATATTTACTTCTGATTTCGTCCACACTTCAGAAATCCTAACAATCTGTTGTGCCGCTTTGGAGTCCTTTATAGTGGTGGAGCTCCTCTTTTAGAGACTGCGAGCATAATCTTTTGGTCGTTTCATAAACAGAGCTGTCGTTTCAGATAGTTTCAGCACACGATCTACAGTAAGCGTGGTAAACAAAACTTTTCTAGAGGTTTCTGTATGAGAGAGGCCACTGTGGCACCATCTGCTGTTGAAAAGGTGCTCTGGTGATGTTTTTGGCAGCTCTCAGAGGCTGCCTTGTGGTAAATGATTAACAAAACACTATTGTTATAAATCAAATACTGTTGCTTAATAAGCTCCCTGACCTCTTGATACTGAAGTGAGCTATGTCTGTTGACAAAGGTAGACAGGTTATTTTTATCCTAAGCAACCTCACTCTCTTTTTTTGTGTGCATAAATTCAGTACATATTATGGCATTTCAAAAATAGTTCATACCTTAAAGTTCTTTGTTTGCAAAAATGTAATTATTTTTATAGACTTAATTTCTTGAATACTGCTCCAATAATTTACTTACATACTCTTCAAACCTATAGATTCTGACGTTTTCTTTACAAAAGATCACAGTGTTTCTGTGTATCTGCAGTAAATTTGAGAGTTGACAGATAAATTAGCCGGCCGATATAATTGCCAATACAGCTTCTGTGTACAGTGTATTGTTGACCAATACGTAACATTAAATTGCTGTCCAGAAATTATGATAATTAGGAAACAATGTCTTCATTACATTTGTACACCTGAGAGTTTGTTTACACTGTCAAATGTCAGACTTGATTGCTTTTTTGTTTCACTTCAATCATTCATTGTGTTCATATTAGTCAACTAGTTAGAGTTGGGGGTATTTCATATTGTATATCCCTAATAAACTATTAGTAGTGAATTGTCTTTCAGTCTACACAGAAGTTGCAGTAGTGTTTGCTAGGAGCAGTTCATTAAACATTTTTTCTCATTGATCAAGTTTTTACTTCTGTAAGTCGACAATTTGTACAATCTCATCCGTGCTTGTCACCATTTCTCTGTCACTATTTTTTGTGAATGTGGTTGTTAGCTAGCTAGTTGATGTCCCCATTTTGAGTCCCATCTACTAAGCTCTGATTGGTCAAAAGCTGCGATTAGTGACCACAACACAATTATCACAAAAATTAAACAAAATTATCCTTAACAAAAAAAAAAGTTATGTGTGTCCATATATGCTGCTGTATCATTTTCTATTTTTTAAATAAACGAATATCAACATCAGTCTTGACATCAATAATCCAGTATATGATAGAGTTCTTCAGATATATTTCCTTACAGAATAGTAATATCTCCCTCCATCTGCTGTATTTGTGATCATATTGGTGACAGTTTGCAATGGAGGACTCCATTGAGATAATTCTTCAAGACCGTGGCAGGGTCCTTTCTACCAGCAGACCCCATCCTGTCCTGTCAACCTGCGTGGGCGCTCTGCTCACAGGCGTGTATGGAGTATGGAGCCTGTTTGCTTTGCCTGGCTTTCGAAAAATCCCATGGAGCCTCAAGGTGCCAGAGATTTCCTTTGTTCTGTTTTTACCTGCCTGCTAAGCCTTCTTTCCCATCTTTTCAAATATCAAATGTTGCATGTTTGTGTGAAATCAAAGAAAATAAGCTGAGATAAAACTTGCGCATTAATAATAGTTTGCTTGTTTTGGAGCATAGTGCTCCGTGCTAGCAACAAATGTGGGACAGAAAGAAAATGGTAAGTCTATAACCGTGATTATGTTTTATGGAGAACGGCCCCATCTTCTACAGTGCGTTACTCTGAAGTGCATTTGGTACTGAGATCCATGTTTGTAACATAATGGATCTTACACTGTTTTTCTTCACTGCCAGTACAAGATGAACAAGAAAACATGAGGATCAGGAGCAGATAATCAGAGGTTAGGTAATGATGAAGATATGTGTTGCTACTTGAAGAATCTCTATTTGTTCTGACATTTTAAAGCAAAAAGAAGCAATTTAAGTCAATACTAATATGCATATGATTACCAGAGAGAGAGGCAGAGCAGAGACAGAGACAGAGACAGAGAGGCCTGTTGAATATATCACTCAGTTATTGTGGAAAAGGCTCCACTGACAGTGAGTAGGAGATCAGATTCAAGGTTGTAGCACTCAGAAGTATGAAGCATATCCAGAGACATCTTCACATGAAAAAGAAAGAATTCATGTCGCTCTTTCACTGCGGCCCAGGTTCCTTATTTGCCCTCGAGTAAAGATCAGACACTGAACATTATGAAGCTGCTTGAGGGACGAACAGGTCGCTTAGCAGACCTGGGATCAGGAGATGGAAGAGTGGTAAGTGAGCTGCAATTGTCTCAGAAAAAATACATTCACATATGGCCATAAACCACGGGGCAAATCTGTGTGTGTTGTGTATACTGTGCCATTGTAGTTGTATTTTGCATCATCAGACTTTTTTTTGCAGGTTCTTGCAGCCTCTGCTGCTGGTTTGCAGTGCACAGGGTTTGAGATTAACGGCATTTTAGTTGCCTATGCCAGGAGCAAGGCCCACTGGAAAGGAGTGCCCTCGAACCAGGCAACCTTTATTAAAAAGGACTTTTGGAAGGTAAGACCTTAACAAAAATTACTTTTTATTTTAGCCTGGTCAAAGTTGTTATATGACCATGTTTCTTTTTTCATAGACTGATTTATCTGCGTACAACAATGTGACCGCTTTCCTTGCTCCAGGAGTGGTGAGTATTTCTTTTGACGCTGTATATGTCAGCATACATAGCATTCAAAGTGACTATATAGCCTTTTCTTATTGGTTTACAGATGGAGTTGCTGGGTGAGAAGCTTTTGAAAGAGCTTCCTGATGATGCGCGTGTCATTGCTTGTCGTTTTCCTTTCTCCAACTGGCCACAGCAATCTTCTGTCGGCTCCGGTCTTGACCAGACTTTTGCTTATGACATTAGCAGTGTGCGCTCACATCTGAGAAAAGTATCGAACACAGTGGGGTAAAAAGTCACATGTTTCTGGGTTGTTTTGTTTCCCAGCACTGTCGTTCTCTACAGCTGTGGCTCTCAACCCATTTGGTGTCAAGGACCCCCAAATTGATACACACCAGGCTACGTACACATATGTGATAAGATGTAGTCTCAGGAATCCCTGTCTGATAAGAAATAGTTATTCCATAACTGTCTATTCTGTAGATTGGCAGATTGACAGTGAATAGTGTGAAAGAATAATATTTTTTATATATTCTCTCAATGGGCTAACTTTTAATCAATGAAAATGGAGTGAAATTAAAATATCCCCCATGTTTCTGGGGGCCTCCTGGAACCACCTCAAAGACCCTCCAGAAACTTTAATGTTTTCTTACACCAGAAATGAAGAAAGACAAACAAAAAGAAACAACACATTTTGGGGTGCCCTGGTAACTTACCTGGTAGAGCGTGCCGCCCGTATACTAATTCCTTTCTGCAGCGGCCCAGGTTAAATTCCAACCTGCAGCCCTTTACTGCATGTCGTCCCCTCTCTCTCCCCAACTTCCTGTCTCTCTCTGGCTGTAACTATGCAAATAGTGGCATAAAAGCAGCAAACTTAAATAAATTGGTGATATCTATCTGTTATGAGCACTGATCAGGGGTGATCCTTTTTCAAAGATGACATAGAACATTGCGAGGATGAGAGGGACTATATCAAAGCAAGATGTCAGGATGATTTTGACATCACTTAGTCCCTGCAGTATTTGTACAATCTTTGCACTGCTAGAACAGACTGAACCTTTGCCATATTACCGACTGTCTTATCAAAACCATCATGCTCTTCTGTCCCCAATATGGCTCTAGCTCCCTTTGTAAGAGCTCTTTCACTACAAATCATTTTACTTCCGCATCAACACTAATAAACCTCTTCAGCAGCAAGCTACAGCAGGGAATGTCAGGGTCATAGTTTCGCCCCACTTTCCTTTTGTGGAGTTGTAATTAGATTTGTATGTTGTGTTCACTTGTGTTTATTCAAAAAATTAATGCCCATGTCTACAGCTCAAGGCCATTGTGAGTTTGTTCCATTTCACTCCCAGAGAGCCACTGAGGGTTAGGAACATGGACAGCATGTTTAGATGTTGCACAGCCACCTCACTGGTGGTCTCAAATAATTATCTATGTCACCTGACCCTTGAGGGTCACATGGAATATTAAACTGGATAGAGAAATGTGCATTTTAGTCTGAGAACCATGGTTATGTGTTGACATTAAAACTAAAACAGATTTTAATAAAACTTGGTTTTAAGAATCCTGCAGTCTCAGATTCTTCTTTATAAGATCTCAAACCTTCATAAGCTTGTGACACATGTGAACAGTTGTCATTCTTGAAACGTCAGCTGGTGCCAATTTCAACACTTTTACAAATACTCTGACTCTTCAAACCTTTTGTGAACACTCACAAACCATGGGTTCCTCTAAGCAAGTGGTTCCCAACCTGGGGGTCGCCAAAGCTTCATGGGGGGGCCACTAGACCTTCTTGATTTTAAGGTGTAAGAAATGTTTCCATTGTTAGAAGATAGATCATGGGACAATGGCCAAGCATTAGGGACAAGACAATACTGAATTTATCAAAACAAAAAGTCTGTATTAAGTCTGGATGATTGTTAAAAATAATTAAAAAAAAATACATAATACAGACAGAATTGTATAAAAGGTTCCCTAAACAGGAAATAATCTGCTCAAAATTCATCCAAATCATTCGTTTTACACAAACTTCTTGCAGTTACTGAGTTCACTATTTGGGTTCATTGTACAGTTTTGAATATAATATGAAATATAAAATATGTCACTGAGTCAGGGGACATTAGTTTACTAAATGACAGAAAAGGGGTCCCTTAAGGAAAAAGGTTGGGAGCCACTGCTCTGACCAGCTGTGTAAGGCTAAGACTGTGTTATTGATTTCCACAATGTAGGAGAAGGCTACAATAAGATAGCAATTTTCACAGTGTGAAACGTGATTAAGAGATGGCAGTTTAGGGCAACTGTGGAGGTCAAGATGAGATCTGGAAGACCAAGAAAACACTCAGAGAGAACTGCTTGTATGCTGGTCAGAAGGGCAAATCCGAACCTCCATGTGAATGCAGGAAACCTGCAGAAATATTTAGCAGCCTCAGGAGTTCCACTGTGCAGCAACAGAACATCTACAGAAGCCTTGTGTGATTTGGAAACAATTGCTGTGGACTGATGAAGTTCAAATAAAACTCAATGGCCACAATCAGCATCGGGGTTCTTTGAAGAAAAAAGGAGCAGCGATTCATGAAAAGCACACCTCCCCATCTGGTAAGCATAGGGGGTGGAGCTATCATGTTTTGTGGTTGTGTGTTTACTAAGTAGTGACCATGTTGGGTGCCCAAACCACATCCACATGCCACAATGATGTTTTTATTTTTTAGATTTTTGTTAAATTTATGAAATATACTAAAACAATGCATGCATGTTTGCTGCTTATATTTTGTTTTATGTTCCATACCACCAGGAGGCTGTGTTTACATCTGTTCAATGAAACAAAACACCAAATGTTTTGTTTGTCAAGAGGTGGCCAAACTTTTGCATATAACTGAACATTACAATATAATTGCCAATGTACTACCGCCTGCACAGCGTTTACACCTCTGCTCACACTGCACTAAACAGTTGAATATACTCTGACATGTTAGGTTCCAGGTTTCAAAACAATATGCACTGATAGTCTTTGGTAAACAGATTCAAAGGCAGAACACGTTTGTGACTTGCAGAGTACCCTAAATGTTATCCAAAATCCTCCACCTGAGGGTGCTAGTGCTCCAAACTGAGTTTGGTGCAAAAACCTAGGATGAGGTGAGCCTGAATGGAATACAGATCATGTTTGTCCTCTGCATAATGGGTATTTAATCGACCAAATGAATCAGACTTCCAACACCTTAAATTGTGTTTTGCACCAAAATGTAAAATGTCCATTCACCTGCCCAGCTACTTTGAGCAGAATAGGTAAACAGCAGAACATGTCTGTCTTTAGCATCTGTCTGTTGTGGATGACGGCTTGTGAGGCCAATAATGATCTGAATTCTTAGATAACATAACAGAACCCACACGCTGTTTTATTCCCTTTGATTTAACATCTGTGCCGTCAGTAACACCTATGCACATGCAAGGTAATCGATACCAGGCAGGCAGACCTCATGCTCTCATTTCACACCGTGACGTCAGAGAGAGGGCGGCAGACAGCGGGGTGGGGTGGGTGCCAGACTATAAAGGCTCAGAGACCGACTCTCCGGGCTGCAGTCTGAGTGCAGGACGACTAACCACCGCAAATGGAAGTACAGAGAAGTAGCGGGCCCCAGCAAACGAACAGCAGCAGCATGTGTGAATCGACGCAGAGGTCCGGCGAACCTCGCCGAAAGAAAATGGATGAGCGCAGTGCGCCCTCAGAGATGGCCAGGATTATCACCGATCCTGTCACGGGGAAGTGCTACTGCCGTGGAAAAGTTTTGGGAAAGGTAGCGCAAGCATATAATCTGTTGTCGACTTTTTGGATTTATCACCCACTCTGAAGACACAGCACATTAACAGTTGTTTTATTTTCTTCCTATTTCCAGGGAGGGTTTGCTAAATGCTATGAGATGACCGATCTGTCCACCAGCAAAGTTTATGCAGCCAAAATCATCCCACATGCGCGCGTCTCCAAACCTCACCAGCGGGAGAAGGTAAGCGCGCTGCTCCGGTGCCTGTGCGCACTGGTATAACTGGATATATATATATATATAAATTATATAAATTGCCGTCAATTACAATCGTGACCCTTTTGTCTCTTCCCCCTGCTAGATTGACAGAGAAATTGAGCTGCACAAAGTGCTGCACCATAAACACATTGTGCACTTTTATCACCATTTTGAGGACAAAGAGAACATCTACATCCTGTTGGAATACTGCAGTAGAAAAGTAAGTGTTGTTTGTCACGTAGTAATGTCACTGCTCTTTATCCTTGCCTCTGCTGTCTGCTTATAAATTTGGATAACACCTGCATTGCACCTAAAGTCAACGAGGCAGCACATAGGCAGTGTTCAGAGTCTGCCCCCACTATAACTGTGTTTTAATTCATTGTAATATACAGCAAATCTATATAACTCCCTACAGTGTTATGAGATTTAAAGAAAATCGTCATGTATGATAAGGTTTTCTTCACAGAGGAAAATATGTGTTTCCATGGAATAGTTAGAGAACAGCTCTGTAATCATTCTCTTCTCTGTGTTTTTCCTTTTTGCAGTCATTAGCCCATATCCTGAAGGCTCGCAAAGTGCTTACTGAACCAGAGGTTCGTTATTATCTAAGACAGATTGTCTCTGGACTGAGGTACCTGCATGAACAAGAGATCCTCCACAGAGACCTGAAACTTGGTAAGGAATCCTTATACAGCAGTGACACATTACAGTGCAGAGACACTTTGTGCACGATTGTAAAAGATGCATTCTTATTTTTCCTTTTTTTTTTTTTTAACACCAACCAACTACTTTAATCAATTCATCAGTGGATCCTTGCAGTATTTAGCCTTTGATCTTGGGTTGAATATCAAGTGCTCATCATCTCATTCCCTTTCTTCCCTACAGGTAACTTCTTTGTGAGTGAGTCGATGGAACTGAAGGTTGGGGACTTTGGTCTGGCTGCCAAGTTGGAGCCAGCAGGAAACAGGAGGAAGACGATCTGTGGAACTCCAAACTATCTGTCCCCTGAGGTGCTCAACAAGCAGGGCCACGGCTGTGAATCAGACATATGGGCCCTAGGCTGTGTAATGTGAGTAGGCAAACTGTAAAGTCACTATTAGTAATAATGTGAATTATTGTTGATTACTATTGAATAACAGTCTAACACCAAATAATGAAGTTAAAAAGACACATTGGCATCATATGTCATGGACTAGTGCAATCCTACTGTCACATGTATGATTTTCATTGATGGAAATGAGCTCACTTTGCCCTCTATCCTGCTCCAGGTATACCATGCTGTTGGGCAGGCCACCATTTGAAACCACCAACCTGAAGGAGACATACAGGTGCATTAGAGAGGCGCGTTATTCCCTGCCCTCCTCTCTGTCGCCACAGGCTAAGCAGTTAATCGCCAGCCTGCTAGCAAAGATCCCAGAGGACAGACCCAACCTGGACCACATTCTGAGGCACGACTTCTTCACACAGGTTAGACACCGCCATCTCCTCTCTGTCTGTCTCTTCCCCTCTCTCTAAATGTCACTTTGTAGGAGTATAGCAGTGACCCTCTTCCCACTAGCCACACACTGACCCACTTTTTGTTCTCTGCAGGGCTTCAGTCCAGAGCGTCTGCCGGCTAGCTGTTGCCATTCAGCACCAGATTTCCACGTCTCTAGTCCCGCCAAGAGCTTCTTCAAGAAAGCTGCCGCTGCGCTCTTTGGTGGAAGGAGAGACAAGGTCAAATACTACGAGACGCTGAGTGAGTATGACATCAACCACTAGGCCTCTCATGCAGCACTTAACAGGCTGCTTGTCACACCAGCTAGTTATCCTTTAATTGGTCAACTATGGTTGCTAGAGGCATCATGACATCTTTGAGATGCATGTGTCACATTTTATCCCTTACTACTCTAATGTCACTTCATGTAGCTGCTGGATGAAAAGGTCATGTTCTGATTTTTGTGTGTTGTCATTGCCTTTGATAGATAAGTTAACCAAAGAGGAAGAGGAGATCTACAAACTGCAGAATGACCTGGAGAAAACTTTCATTAGCCAACAACAGAGCAAAAAGATTTCTGAGGTAAGAGGTCATTTATTCACAAATAATTAATTTATTATACACAAAAACAGCTTATGTAGTGTAGGTGATGTTGCAGGTACATTATTCATAGAGCCATTTAATAAATTGTTAGATTTGAGATATCATGTCGAGGAGAATCCAATGAGTCACCCTGATGCTGTACTAAACTTTATAACAAGCGTCGTTTCAGAACAAACTAAAGCACTTATTTTTAACCTTTTAAGCCAGCCACTTTGAATCTGTGGGTGACTGCTGAGTCATACTAGGAAGAGATGATCTAAACTCGCAGATTCTAACCCCTGTCGTCACTGATTCCCACCTCAGAATGGAAGTCTACTTCCGCCATCTGCTGAGAGCCCAGTTGCCCTGGCAACAGAGAGCCAGTCCCCGACAACGCGAGATCCCATCCGTCTGATCGTCAGGGGGAGTCTGGGGAGCTGCAGCAGCAGCAGCGAATGTAAGTTCACCTAGTTTCACACACACACGTACGCA